GTATTTCGATAGCTACGGATTGCCGCCCTTGGACTCAAGGTTCTTCTCACGTCTTCGCCGAAACTCCACTACGTATCGCTGGAATATGACAACGCTGCAAGGAATGCTTTCTCAAACCTGCGGACAATACTGCTGTGTATTTCTATACTTTATGTGTAATGGTTATAATCTTAGCCAGTTTCTTAGTCTGTTTACCTCTGATTATAAACACAATGATCGATTGATCCTACAACTATTTCATAAAATTTTTCTTCATTGTAAACGAAAATTAACGAATTGTCATGCTGTATGCTGTCATGTTCAATCGTGTACTCTTTTTAAAAAAAAGTAAAATACCTATTTCATGTAATACCTTTTTAAAAAATAAATAAATGTTTTTGTCATATAAATTTCGTCTGTTCCTTACTCTTCCTAACCTCTTCCTAACCTCCCCATTTACGGTTTAGATAATGTAGATTAAATACATGAAAAAATATAAAGAATTTTTTCTTTAACGCTATGTCTGAATCATCACATCGAAGACGTCACAGCGGGTGATCATGTTCATTTCTGTTTTACTTAATCTTTCTCCAAGTGAAAGCGAGAGTCTTCTAGTCTCTTTACGAAAATTTTCGTAAAAGAACCCGTAAATAATAAACGTCGGACGTTCCAGACAAAGATCTATGCCAGCAAAAAATGACCTACATAGTAAAGAACTCCATGCTATTCATGTCACTACTTTTCCCCCTCTCCCCTGACAAAAAATGTCTCAGGACCTATTTTCCTCGGCTTTCCCATTCTCCATTTTCACTCTCACTCTCTCTTTCTCAACGTGACCTCTCTCTTACCAATCGTAGCGTGGGCAGCCATGGAGCGAACCAATCAGTGCGCGGGCAGCCATGGAGAGAACCAATTAAAATGCTCTATTTAATTACCTCATTATTCCCTTTTTTCGTCTGCAACCAATCAGAGTCCCCATTGTTCCAGACGGACCCGTCTAGGCCACGCCCATAACGTCTGGGGAGGCGTGGAGGAGGTTTGTTTTGACAGCTCGGCGGGGGGAAGAGGGGGTTTGTTTTGACGCCAGGGTAGAGTAGATGGGGTTTGTTATGACTCTCCATGGCTGCCCACATACTACTAATTTGCTTCTGGACGATGAGCGAGAACGCATGTACATCGAGACTTTGGATGCAGTTTACGAAGACATGGAATCTTTAACTAATCTAGATGTTACTAATAATATTATGCAATGCGGAAAACATGCAAAGAACTGCGCGTTACAAAATGTATTGAAAATATATAACTGGTGGTTGTGCAAAAGAATTTTTTAAATAAAAATATGTAAACGTACTTGTTATGTATTAAGTGCGCAACTAAGTTCTCGCTGTTATTTT